ACCGTGAGATAAAGCTGCAGCCCTGTATCCCCCTCAACATGTTCCACTCGCTTCATTTCAGAAACCAAGCAAGACCGGGCCAGGTGCTACTTGGATGGTAGACCACCAGGAAAACATGTCCAGTTGGAGCAAAGTGATAAACGGCACGATTTCTCAAGAATCACCCAGACTTATCATCAATGCTACCCTGCCCTAGCCTCACCATAAGAGAAAGCGTATGGTAAATTCATGCTCTGAAGTGTGGTGACCCACACTAATTGGGTTTGTCAGGCATATTACCCAATGATGAGAGTCAAAACTAGCAAAGCCAAAGCTGAAGCTGAGGTGACTGGAGGGCACGAAACTGTAGTTGAGTGGTGGTGGAAAGTGAGAGGTGAATAGTGAGGCTCAGTCATTCAGATCTGGGAACTATTGACCTTATGGTGTAAACCCATTCCCCTCCTTCTGCAGCCTGACCCACCCAAAGGCAGGCCTGAGAGAAACCACTGGATGTTGGGGTGCACCACAGACCAACCCAAAGGCTAACGACTACTCCTATTCCCAATGGATTATAAAAGACAGCTATATGCACATGAAAATAAGTCATAGCATTAAAAAAAGACTTGTTAGAGTCTGACGATTTGAGTGTGGGTATTTTGCAGGGATGGGTACAGAGGCAGGTCAGCTCTGGTTGGAAGGCATTTAGCTCCTAAGTCAGGCTTGGAGTCCAAACTAGGTCTGAGAGTCACTTGACTTTGAGAGTTCCTGCAGCCTTTTTATCCAGAGAGTGAAAGTACCTGAGCAGAATCCAAAAGCACTAAGTCACAACAATATTTTTCTCAGTCTGTTTCAATTTGTGGTCCATAAAAATGTCTTAGTACAGCTGCTTTGGAAATTTCACATGCAGATAGATTAGTGTGTAGCATCTATGAACCTAGTTCCTGTTTGTGTATCTTAAAAATGACAGATCAAACTCAGAGGTCAGCACATCACAGGCTGAAACAGATTGATTTAAGTGCAGTAGGACCCTCAAGAAGGTCACCCATTAATCTATCTGACTATTATTGCCATAGTTTTTATGTTTTGGGCAAAATCAAAATGTGGTAATTGTTATTTTTAACTAAACTTTGAAAGCATGCCATATAAGACATAAACTAGAGATACTCATTGTCCAAGAAGATTTTTTTAAATCTTTTTTTTTAATTAATTAGTGCAGCTACCAAAGAAGCATGAGCTCACAGTTCAGTCTGGGGGTCAGTAGATCTGCAGTGTTGCCTGGAGTCGGAAGCTGTTCAAGATCTGCTATAAAAATCATAACATTGCTATGCAGTCATGGGACAATTCCACACATGATAGCCTCTCATTTTGTGGGGAAAATGAAATTCAAATGCTTATAAAATAGAAAGTCATATTTCTCTCTGAATACTATTTTCTTTCCTTCCTGTAGATGTTAGAAACAAAAAAATATTAACAGTGATTTAGTTTTATTTGGAGCTTATACTTTTTTGAAGTTGCAACTTTTGAAATGTAAATTAAAACATTTCAGAGTATCCTTGGCATGATTAGAATAAACAAATAAAATATTAATTTTCCAGTACATTATCTTAAATAATGAATCTCACAGGCAAAATTTCTGCTTTTCATTACTGCTGTCATAATGTAGCTCTCATTAAGTCAGCTTTCATCTATACACTGCCCACAAATATCTGCAATGCATTCACACTTACAGTATTGCAAAGAAGGTAAATGAGGGCAAAGCCTGACCTTCTGGGTTTAATATCCTACTTACAAAACATCTAAATTTCAATTTGTGTTTGAAGAATTCCACACCACTGAAATACTCTTGGCAGGGTTATTTTCCCATGTATACAGCATGTGCCCATCCATCGACACTATCTTGATCCCATTCTTAAAATCACTGAAAAAAAAAAAGAACAAAATAAAACAGAATAGCCAGCCATGAAATCTCGTAATAAAGGAACATTTTTCTTGGCCAGATGGTTCACTGAAGCGAAGGATTAGTGTTTTGTTCAAACAGGGCTTTCAACATAGGAATCTTTGCTGGACACAGAAGCATTTCCAGCCAATTACAGAGGATTTTAATTAGTACAAAGGAGTGTTCCCAGCTTCTTCTGCACAGCCCTGCAGAGCAGCGAGATCACCTTTAGGAGGAGCCTCATCCCCTCCTGTACACCTAATAAAAAACAGTGGATCCTGCAAAGCTGTTAGGCATTCTAAAATATGTTTCCATTAACAAAGATTCTGAAAAAAATGGAAAATTATAAAAAGCAGCCTCATGAGATCCTCTATTCCTCAGTCTTATCTCAAAATAATCATCTGTATCTAAGCCTTCTGTGACAGATACTTGTCTAATTTTCTCTTTAAAAATTTCAGTGATGGTGCAGTAGTGGTTAACACAAATATTAAGAATGAACAATCAAATCTTTAACATGAGCAGCCTGACAGAAATAAAGCAGAACCAGAGGCAGTGGAGATAGAAACCTGCTGAATAATAAAAACATTTTAGAAGCAAGCATTGTTATTTTGAGGACACAGTGAAGAACGGAAAGTTGGGTCTCTATAGAAGGGATAAGAAGTAGAATTAAATTTACTTATGGTTGGCCACAAGAGTGGTTCTAACAGTTAGCTAAAAACAGGAAAGGGCAGAAAGGCTGAACAGAAGGTTAGCTTTTGCAAATTTAAGCCAACCCTTGTAATCTGTTACCTTTGCTGCTAACGCTGCTGTAAGTACATCTGTTCACTTCTTGCACTCCCTTCTTAGGTTGAGGGAGGCAAGGTACAGAAACACTTTATGCTGCATGAATCTCACTCATGTAATTTGCCAGAGCTTTGAGAAATGGAAGGAATTTCCAAATTGATCCTTGGTGTCCTGATTTGTCCTTTGTGTCATTTGAACACTGGCCCAAGCAATGCCTGTGTCTAATTGACTTCACATCTTCAGTAGGCAACTGATCCCAGCACCTAACAGTCCCCTTACTGTTGAAATGTTTCTCAATGGACAACTTAATTCTCCTTTCCTCCAGGTTAAGCCTCTGTAGGCATAAAGAAAATTTTATTCCTTTCCACTTCATGGAGTTCTCTGAAATAATTGAAACCCTTGATTCACATCTCCACCTAATCTTCCTATTTCCCAAACTAGGCAGTCCATACACCATGTTTTCCAGATCTCTGA